ATGTTTAGCAAGAAAGTCAGTTAAATAGATGGAAAGGATAATGAAACAATTATGAGCAACACCGTCACAAGTACCAAACAACGTGAGTCTGCAAGCAGTAATGGAATGGTAAACAACGTGAGTCTGCAAGCAGTAATGGAATGGTAAACAACGTGAGTCTGCAAGCAGTAATGGAATGGTAAACAACGTGAGTCTGCAAGCAGTAATGGAATGGAAACAATGAGTCTGCAAGCAGTAATGGAATGGAAACAATGAGTCTGCAAGCAGTAATGGAATGGTAAACAACGTGAGTCTGCAAGCAGTAATGGAATGGAAAACAATGTGAGTCTGCAAGCAGTAATGGAATGGTAAACAACGTGAGTCTGCAAGCAGTAATGGAATGGAAACAATGTGAGTCTGCAAGCAGTAATGGAATGGCAAACAATGTGAGTCTGCAAGCAGTAATGGAATGGAAACAATGAGTCTGCAAGCAGTAATGGAATGGAAACAATGTGAGTCTGCAAGCAGTAATGGAATGGAAACTGAGTCTGCAAGCAGTAATGGAATGGTAAACAACGTGAGTCTGCAAGCAGTAATGGAATGGTAAACAATGTGAGTCTGCAAGCAGTAATGGAATGGAAACAATGTGAGTCTGCAAGCAGTAATGGAATGGAAACAATGTGAGTCTGCAAGCAGTAATGGAATGGTAAACAATGTGAGTCTGCAAGCAGTAATGGAATGGTAAACAATGTGAGTCTGCAAGTAATGGAATGGTAAACAATGTGAGTCTGCAAGTAATGGAATGGTAAACAAGTTTACTGAGGTACAGGTACACAAATACAGGTACACAAATTATCATATGTAGTAACATGTGTAAATTACCCAACCAGAATAACCCCAAAACAAGTCAGACAGTGATTTATTTCCAATGTGACAGCCTTCTTGGCTTGATATTTGAAGTATAAAACACCAGAAACAACCACATTAAAACACCAGAAACTACATTAAAACACCAGAAACTATATTACAACACCAGAAACAACCACATTAAAACACCAGAAACATTAAAACACCAGAAACTACATTAAAACCAGAAAAAAACACATTAAAACACCAAAAACAAGCACACTAAAACACCAGAAACTACATTAAAACACCAGAAGCCATCACATTAAAACCAGAAACAACCACATTAAAACACCAAAAACAAACATAAGAACATAAGAAAGGAGAAACACCGCAGCAGGCCTGTTGGCCCATACTAGGCAGGTCCTTTACAATCAATACCACTAACAAAACATTTACCCAACCAATTTTCAATGCCACCCAAGAAATAAGCTCTGATAACCCTGTCCACTCATGTGCAAGTCCCACTCAAATCCAACCCCTCTCACTCATGCATTTATCCAACCTAAATTTGAAACAACCCAAGGTTTTAGCCTCAATAACCCAACTAGGCAGACTGTTCCACTCATCAACTACCCTATTTCCAAACCAATACTTTCCTATGTCCTTTCTAAATCTAAACTTATCTAATTTAAATCCATTACTGCGGGTTCTCTCATGGAGAGATATCCTCAAGACCTTATTAATATCCCCTTTATTAATACCTATCTTCCACTTATACACTTCGATCAGGTCTCCCCTCATTCTTCGTCTAACAAGTGAATGTAACTTAAGAGTCTTCAATCTTTCTTCATAAGGAAGATTTCTAATGCTATGTATTAATTTAGTCATCCTACGCTGAATGTTTTCTAACGAATTTATACGCAAATAACCCGCACATAAAAGAGAGAAGCTTACGACGACGTTTTGGTCCGACTTGGACCATTGACAAAGTCACACTAACAGAGGTGGAGCAGGACGGCTATATATAGGCAGGAAGAGGTGGAGGTAGTAGTAGTAGTAGTAGTAGTAGTAGTAGTAGTAGTAGTAGTAGTAGTACAAGAATTGTATATAATACCGACAGGATGAAATGACACATGCACAACACCCGGGCATCCCCACCGTAGACGTTTCGCCATCCAGCCAGCCACTGGATGGCGAAACGTCCACAACAAAGACAACCAGATGCCGCACATGTGTCTTAATTTCTTTTTCTTCTTCTTCTTTTTCTTTTTCTTTTTTTCTTTTTCTTTTTCTTCTTCCTCTTCCCCTTTCCTCTCTCCTTTTCTCCTCTGGGTTGTATTTCTCTCTCCTGTCTCGTGTTTCTGTTCCTTCTTCATTTATTTTATTTCACCACTTCCCCTTTCACGCACCTCGGTGCGCTTGCTCTCCCTCTGTGGGTTTCTAGCTCTCTTGCAGTGCTCCCCTTCCTTTGTATTTGACTGGCTCGTCTTCCTTATTTCCCACTTCTACCACTACTACTACCTCTTCTTCTACTGCAACTACTGATGAAATTAAGACACATGTGCGGCATCTGGTTGTCTTTGTTGTGGACGTTTCGCCATCCAGTGGCTGGCTGGATGGCGAAACGTCTACGGTGGGGATGCCCGGGTGTTGTGCATGTGTCATTTCATCCTGTCGGTATTATATACAATTCTTGTACTACTACTACTACTACTACTACCTCCACCTCTTCCTGCCTATATATAGCCGTCCTGCTCCACCTCTGTTAGTGTGACTTTGTCAATGGTCCAAGTCGGACCGAAACGTCGTCGTAAGCTTCTCTCTTTTATGTGCGGGTTATTTGTGTATCGTTCCAGTCACGGTATTGTGCCTTTTTGTTATTTAACGAATTTATGTCCATTCTGTAATATGGAGACCAGAACTGAGCTGCATAATCTAGGTGAGGCCTTACTAATGATGTATAAAGCTGCAGTATGACCTCTGGACTTCTGTTGCTTACACTTCTTGATATAAATCCCAGTAATCTATTTGCCTTATTACGTACGCTTAGGCATTGCTGTCTTGGTTTAAGGTTGCTGCTTACCATAACCCCCAAGTCCTTTTCGCAATCTGTATGGCTAAGTTCTACATTATTTAACTTGTAAGTGCTAGGGTTATGGACACTCCCGAGCTTCAGAACCTTGCATTTATCTACAGTGAACTGCCTCTGCCACTTTGCTGATCAGGTACTGAGTTTGTCTAAAGCACATTAAAACACCAGAAATAATCATATTAAAACCAGAAACAAGCACATTAAAACACCAAAAACAAGCACATTAAAACACCAAAAACAAGCACATTAAAACACCAAAAACAAGCACATTAAAACACCAGAAACATCCACATTAAAACACCAGAAACATCCACATTAAAACACCAGAAACATCCACATTAAAACACCAGAAACATCCACATTATAACACCAGAAACAACCACATTATAACACCAGAAACATCCACATTAAAACACCAGAAACATCCACATTAAAACACCAGAAACATCCACATTAAAACACCAGAAACATCCACATTAAAACACCAGAAACATCCACATTAAAACACCAGAAACATCCACATTAAAACACCAGAAACATCCACATTAAAACACCAGAAACATCCACATTAAAACACCAGAAACATCCACATTAAAACACCAGAAACATCCACATTAAAACACACAGAAACATCCACATTAAAACACCAGAAACATCCACATTAAAACACCAGAAACATCCACATTAAAACACCAGAAACATCCACATTAAAACACCAGAAACATCCACATTAAAACACCAGAAACATCCACATTAAAACACCAGAAACATCCACATTAAAACACCAGAAACATCCACATTAAAACACCAGAAACATCCACATTAAAACACCAGAAACATCCACATTAAAACACCAGAAACATCCACATTAAAACACCAGAAACATCCACATTAAAACACCAGAAACATCCACATTAAAACACCAGAAACATCCACATTAAAACACCAGAAACATCCACATTAAAACACCAGAAACATCCACATTAAAACACCAGAAACATCCACATTAAAACACCAGAAACATCCACATTAAAACACCAGAAACATCCACATTAAAACACCAGAAACATCCACATTAAAACACCTGAAACATCCACATTATTACATACTTGTTGACCACAACTTGAACTCACCGTCACATTTTTGTCTCCAAATTACATAAGAGACGAAGATACAGTTGCAGCAGAGTACAGAGAAGTGGAATTAGTGGTAACTACAATTACTGATACATGGAGCTGTGTGGTAACAGTAGTAACTCTAGTAGTTATAATAGCAGCAGTATGTAAGTGGGGGTAGTTGAAGACTAGTGTTCCACCAACTTCCATCTCTCCTATAAATTACATGTCATGTATTCTCAATAAGGTATAGTATGCAGTGGCGGCTTATCCATAGGAGATGCAGAGCTGCAGTCTCCCCCGATGCTCACTGCCAGATGTATGACTTCATCAACCTTAAGCTAAAATAATTTGCAACTGACAAATACATTACAGGAAAAATTTGTTGTATGTTGTTTTCAATGTATTTATAAGTGAATTTTTAACTTTGTTGAAATGAGATAAAAAAAAAGATTAAAAACAGAAGTTTGATACAGTACAACACTATAGGTATTGTAGATCAATGGTTCAGAGAACCAACAAGTTAATAAATTAGACACATGTGCAACTCTTGAGTTGCACATGTGTCTAATTGGGTTGCACATGTGTCTAATTTATCAGTATAGGTATTACTGGCATTATGAGCCACCACTTATAGTATGTATGTGTTTTCCCTATTTCATGCAGTGTCCTATTTTTGCATTACCACCTAACTAATACATTACAGTCCTTAACCCAGATAAATCTCAGAAGATGATGTGAGCATCCAAGTCCACTGCTCTTTCTCTCTCAAACCTGTCGGAAAAGTTTTCCTAGTTTAACTATTTCCTTACAATGCCTGGGCAGCTGCTGCCCTTGGCTGCTTGCTAGATCTTAAATTGGCTGAAATTTAGTAAAAGCACTGTGACTGGCTGAAATTTTGTTAGGGGACACGCACGTTTCGACCTATGCAGAAGTACGAGTCAAGAAGTGAAGAAAACACTAACCTGTTTGAGAATGTTGGTAGCTTCCTTGGAGAGGAATTTAGGGTAGAAAGGTTCATCATTACATATGAGCCAGAAGAGATGATCCTCATCACAGCCCTTGAAGGGTGACTTTCCTGTCATCATCTCATAGAGTAACACTCCAAAACTCCACCAGTCCACACACTGGTTATAATGAAGACCCTTGATGACCTGCAATGATAGAGGGGTTCTTTGATGCCCTGTCATTATACACTCAACAGTTAAGTCCCTTGATCACATCTCATTGTATAATACACTCACGTTATTATTTATGTTGAATTAATGTATTGCCCAATAACTGTTTTAAAATATAGTGATGAAACTGCAACTGAATATGGATAGCTTAATGACTGTATAATAGTAACACTTATTTGCAGTCATATGTAGGGATAGTAACCCCTTCTCCTGTAAAAATTATTTAAATTTGGAAAGAGAAACCTTCATTTTTCTTTTTAGGTCACCCTGCCTAGGTGGGAGAAAGCTAGGTCATTGAAAAAAATATTTCTTCTTCTCTTTCAACAAACCAGCCATATCCTAAGCAGGATGACCCAAAAAGAAAAACAAAAGTTTTTCTATAAATTTAGTAACATGTACAGGAGAAGAGGTTACTAGCCCCTTGCTCCTGGCATTTTAGTCACCTCTTATGACATGCAGGGGTATGTTCTTCAAGGAGAGATTAAGGGACCTCTGGAGGACAGGAGGGATAGGAGGGACACGATAACGATATACAAAATACCAAGAGGAGTCGACTCTGAGGACAGGGTTAGAATGTTTCAGAGATGGGACACAGCAACAAGAAGTCACGACTTGAAGCTGAAAACTCAGATGAATCACAGGCATGTTAGAAAGTATTTTTTCAGCCTTAGAGTTGTCAGGAAGTGGAACAATCTGGAGAGTAAAGTAGTGGAAGCAGGATCCATACAAAGTTTTAAGATGAGGTATGATAAGACTCTTAGAGCAGAGAGAGTGGACCTAGTAGTGACCAGGAAAGAGGCAGGGCTAGGAGCTGTGAACTGACCCCTGCAACCCAATATAGGTGAATATACATCTTACCTCGGGTGCCATATAATCAGGAGTGCCACAGAAAGTGTCAGCATAGCGGTCCAGGTACACTTGTAACTTACACATACCAAAGTCAGCAATTCTGATGTGACCCTGATAGTCCAGCAGAATGTTGTCCAGTTTGAGATCTCTGTCAACATAAGGCAGGTAGATAGTATTTCATGGAGCTCTAAACCTCTGTGGGTTAGTTATCTGATTAATTGGGTTTAAAGGCTATAAACTACACAAAGGTTGGTTTGTTAGAGTTAAGATATAATGACTGAACTAAGGTTGGTTTGTTAGATTTAACCTTTTCACTGTTGGTGACGTACAAGTACGGCTTACAAGCCAATGTTGGTGATGTATTAATACCCCAAAATTCTAGCGGCTTCAAATCTAGCAGGAGAAAGCTGGTAGACCCACATGTGAGAGAATGGGTCTGCGTGGTCAGTGTGCGCAGTATAAAAAAAATCCTGCAGCATGCAGTGCATAATGAGAAAAAAAAAAACACTGGAGTTTACCTGGAGAGAGTTCCGGGGGTCAACGCCCCCGCGGCCCGGTCTGTGACCAGGCCTCCTGGTGGGTCAGAGCCTGATTAACCAGGCTGTTGCTGCTGGCTGCACGCAAACCAACGTACGAGCCACAGCCCGGCTGATCAGGAACCGACTTTAGGTGCTTGTCCAGTGCCAGCTTGAAGACTGCCAGGGGTCTGTTGGTAATCCCCCTTATGTATGCTGGGAGGCAGTTGAACAGTCTCGGGCCCCTGACACTTATTGTATGGTCTCTTAACGTGCTAGTGACACCCCTGCTTTTCATTGGGGGGATGGTGCATCATCTGCCAAGTCTTTTCCTTTCGTAGCGAGTGATTTTCGTGTGCAAGTTCGGTACTAGTCCCTCTAGGATTTTCCAGGTGTATATAATCATGTATCTCTCCTGCCTGCGTTCCAGGGAATACAGGTTTAGGAACCTCAAGCGCTCCCAGTAATTGAGGTGTTTTATCTCCGTTATGCGCGCCGTGAAAGTTCTCTGTACATTTTCTAGGTCGGCAATTTCACCTGCCTTGAAAGGTGCTGTTAGTGTGCAGCAATATTCCAGCCTAGATAGAACAAGTGACCTGAAGAGTGTCATCATAGGCTTGGCCTCCCTAGTTTTGAAGGTTCTCATTATCCATCCTGTCATTTTTCTAGCAGATGCGATTGATACAATGTTATGGTCCTTGAAGGTGAGATCCTCCGACATGATCACTCCCAGGTCTTTGACATTGGTGTTTCACTCTATTTTGTGGCCAGAATTTGTTTTGTACTCTGATGAAGATTTAATTTCCTCATGTTTACCATATCTGAGTAATTGAAATTTCTCATCGTTGAACTTCATATTGTTTTCTGCAGCCCACTGAAAGATTTGGTTGATGTCCGCCTGGAGCTTTGCAGTGTCTGCAATGGAAGACACTGTCATGCAGATTCGGGTGTCATCTGCAAAGGAAGACACGGTGCTGTGACCGCATTTTTGGATTAAAACGCTGACTTTGAGGTGTATTTTTGTATGGTATTTATAGCTGTATTCTCATTTCCTTGGTCTCATTTGATAGAATGGAAGATATACAGTGGACCCCCGCTTTACGCTCAGCTCCCAATGCGACCAATTATGTAAGTATATTTATGTAAGTGCGTTTGTATGTGTATGTTTGGGGGTCTGAAATGGACTAATCTAATTCACAATATTCCTTATGGGAACAAATTCGGTCAGTACTGGCACCTGAACATACTTCTGGAATGAAATAATATCGTAAACCGGGGGTCCACTGTATTACAGAAACAGAGATGATTTTGATTGATTTCACAATGAAAAGTACCTTGAAATTGAGCTCAAAATAGCAGAAATGTTCGATCTTTGCCACCATCCAATGTGTGTCCAACTGGCCAGTCTAATATGCAGTCATGAACGGGTTGACATTATTTATACAATTATATAATAATGCAGTATAACAGTAAATCTTCTATATTTTGTGTTTACCTGGAGAGGGTTTTGGGGGTCAACGCCCCCATGGCTCAGTCTAAGCTCAGGCCTCATGGTGGATCAGGGTCTGATCAACCAGGCTGTTACTGCTGGCCACACGCAAACTGACATATGAACCACAGTCCGGTTGTGTGAATAAAAATTCAGAATGGAAAGCAAGAGTAATATAAGAGGGGCCTAGAAATATGATTAATGAACAGAGAAAATGTTATTTTAGTACCAGGAATGTCTATCTTGTTATTCTGGACCCTATTTTGAAATTTGCATCTTTTAAAATTTATGTGAAAATGGCCAAATTGCCAATTTCTTACCACTTTAGTGGGTAGTTCAAATCTTATACTCATTCGATACAACAAATGGAGTTCTAGAACAATAGCTACGAGTTTGGTCGACTGGAACAATGGAATTGGCTGAAAATAGGGCTTAAAGTGGGCAAAATGGCTGATGCATATACTGTATATCGCCGGGACTGCTAACTTCGTGAGAATGTAATTTCGTAAATAACAAAATAAGGCACACTACCGTGACTGGAACGATACACAAATAACCCGCACATAAAAGAGAGAAGCTTATGAAGACGTTTCGGTCCGACTTGGTTAGTGTGACTTTGTCATTGGTCCAAGTCGGACCGAAACGTCATCGTAAGCTTCTCTCTTTTATGTGCGGGTTATTTGTGTAATTTCGTAAGTTTTCCATCCAATTTTGTACTTTTGGTGTCATTACTATCAAGAAAAGTCTTTTTTTTTCTCATGAAATAATAAAATCTTTTTTGAACATTCTTCGACACTGAGAGCAAGTTTCTGAGCAGAGGTCTCGACAGTGAAAGGGTTAAAGTCTATCTACTACACGAGGGTCATTAAGGTTGGTTGGTTAATGGGGTTTAAAGTCTATCTACTACACGAGGGTCATTAAGGTTGGTTGGTTAATGGGGTTTAAAGTCTATCTACTACACGAGGGTCATTAAGATTGGTTGGATTAATGGGTTTAAATCTATCTACTACAGAGGTCATTAAGGTTGGTTGGTTAATGGGGTTTAAAGTCTATCTACTACACGAGGGTCATTAAGGTTGGTTGGTTAATGGGTTTAAAGTCTATCTACTACACGAGGGTCATTAAGGTTGGTTGGTTAATGGGGTTAAAGTCTATCTACTACACGAGGGTCATTAAGATTGGTTGGTTAATGGGGTTTAAAGTCTATCTACTACACGAGGGTCATTAAGGCTGCAGGTCACCTGTACACCACCAGTCAAGAATACTTTAATACTTAAAATAGTGATTAATGTAAACTACCAGTATATATACACTGAGAGATGTATGTATACCACAGTATATACACCACTATGTATATATACTAATAGATATATATCTCTCTGTGTATATACCCTTGTCAGCTGGTTAATTAAGTATAAGGAGTGAGGGAGGCTAGACCTTCTTTTCCCTAAAATAAGACCCCATCACTTGTAAATAAGACCCTGTCACTTGTAAATAAGACCCCATCACTCATAAATAAGACCCCATCACTCATAAATAAGACCCCATCACTCATAAGACCCCCATCACCTGTAAATAAGACCCCATCACCTGTAAGACCCCATCACCTGTAAATAAGACCCCGTCACTTGTAAATAAGACCCTGTCACTTGTAAATAAGACCCTGTCACTTGTAAATAAGACCCTGTCACTTGTAAATAAGACCCTGATCACTTGTAAAGACCCTGTCACTTGTAAATAAGACCCTGTCACTTGTAAATAAGACTCCATCACTCATAAATAAGACCCCATAACTCATAAGACCCCCATCACCTGTAAACCCATCACCTGTAAATAAGACCCCATCACTCTAAATAAGACCCCACACCTAAGACCCACACCTGTAAATAAGACCCCATCACCTGTAAATAAGACCCCATCACCTGTAAGACCCCATCACCTGTAAATAAGACCCCATCACCTGTAAATAAGACCCCATCACTCATAAGACCCCCATCACCTGTAAATAAGACCCTATCACCTGTAAATAAGACCCCATCACCTGTAAATAAGACCCCATCACTTTTAAATAAGACCCCATACTTAAATAACCTCACCTGTAAATAAGACCCCATCACCTGTAAATAAGACCCCATCCCTAGACCCATCCTGTAAATAAGACCCATCACCTGTAAATAAGACCCCATCACCTGTAAATAAGACCCTCACTTCAAACCATCACTGTAATAAGACCCCATCACCTGTAAATAAGACCCCATCACCTGTAAATAAGACCCCATCACCTGTAAATAAGACCCCATCACCTGTAAATAAGACCCCATCACCTGTATATAAGACCCCATCACCTGTAAATAAGACCCCATCACCTGTAAATAAGACCCCATCACCTGTAAATAAGACCCCATCACCTGTAAATAAGACCCCATCACCTGTATATAAGACCCCATCACCTGTAAATAAGACCCCATCACTGTAAATAAGACCCCATCACCTGTAAATAAGACCCCATCACCTGTAAATAAGACCCCATCACCTGTAAATAAGACCCCATCACCTGTAAATAAGACCCCATCACCTGTAATAAAAATAAGACCCCATCACCTGTAAATAAGACCCCATCACCTGTAAATAAGACCCCATCACCTGTAAATAAGACCCCATCACCTGTAAATAAGACCCCATCACCTGTAAATAAGACCCCATCACCTTAAATAAGACCCCATCACCTGTAAATAAGACCCCATCACTGTAAATAAGACCCCATCACCTGTAAATAAGACCCCATCACCTGTAAATAAGACCCCATCACCTGTAAATAAGACCCCATCACCTGTAAATAAGACCCCATCACCTGTAAATAAGACCCCATCACTGTAAATAAGACCCCATCACCTGTAATAAAGACCCCATCACCTGTAAATAAGACCCCATCACCTGTAAATAAGACCCCATCACCTGTAAATAAGACCCCATCACCTGTAAATAAGACCCCATCACTGTAAATAAGACCCCATCACCTGTAAATAAGACCCCATCACTTAAATAAGACCCCATCATAAGACCTCATTGTAAATAAGACCCCATCACCTGTAAATAAGACCCCATCACCTGTAAATAAGACCCCATCACCTGTAAATAAGACCCCATCACCTGTAAATAAGACCCCATCACTTTAAATAAGACCCCATCACCAATAAGACCCCATCACCTGTAAATAAGACCCCATCACCTGTAAATAAGACCCCATCACCTGTAAATAAGACCCCATCACCTGTAAATAAGACCCCATCACCTGTAAATAAGACCCCATCACCTGTAAATAAGACCCCATCACCTGTAAATAAGACCCCATCACCTGTAAATAAGACCCCATCACCTGTAAATAAAACCCCATCACCTGTAAATAAACCCCATCACCTGTAAATAAAACCCCATCACCTGTAAATAAGACCCCATCACCTGTAAATAAGACCCCATCACCTGTAAATAAGACCCCATCACCTGTAAATAAGACCCCATCACCTGTAAATAAAACCCCATCACCTGTAAATAAAACCCCATCACCTGTAAATAAAACCCCATCACCTGTAAATAAACCCCATCACTGTAAATAAGACCCCATCACCTGTAAATAAGACCCCATCACCTGTAAATAAGACCCCATCACTTGTAAATAAGACCCCATCACCTGTAAATAAGACCCCATCACCTGTAAATAAGACCCCATCACCTGTAAAATAAAACCCCATCACCTGTAAAATAAAACCCCATCACCTGTAAATAAGACCCCATCACCTGTAAATAAGACCCCATCACCTGTAAATAAGACCCCATCACCTGTAAATAAGACCCCATCACCTGTAAATAAGACCCCATCACCTGTAAATAAAACCCCATCACCTGTAAATAAAAACCCCATCACCTGTAAATAAGACCCCATCACCTGTAAATAAGACCCCATCACCTGTAAATAAGACCCCATCACCTGTAAATAAGACCCCATCACCTGTAAATAAGACCCTGTCACTTGTAAAGTTTTTACATCTAGAAAAAAATTCAATTCTGTAAACAGGTTTTTCATGAGTGAAAAAGACTGTGAAACATGTAAACAAGTGTTTAAACATGTAAACAAGTGTTTAAACATGTAAACAAGTGTTTAAACATGTAAACAAGGCTTCAAACATGTAAACAAGGCTTCAAACATGTAAACAAGTGTTTAAACATGTAAACAAGGCTTCAAACGTGTAAACAAGGCTTCAAACATGTAAACAAGGCTTCAAACATGTAAACAAGGCTTCAAACATGTAAACAAGGCTTCAAACATGTAAACAAGGCTTCAAACATGTAAATAGAGCTTCAAGCATGTAAACAAGGCTTCAAACATGTAAACAAGGCTTCAAACATGTAAACAAGGCTTCAAACATGTAAACAAGGCTTCAAACATGTAAACAAGGCTTCAAACATGTAAACAAGGCTTCAAACATGTAAACAAGGCTTCAAACATGTAAACAAGGCTTCAAACATGTAAACAAGGCTTCAAACATGTAAACAAGGCTTCAAACATGTAAACAAGGCTTCAAACATGTAAACAAGGCTTCAAACATGTAAACAAGGCTTCAAACATGTAAACAAGGCTTCAAACATGTAAATAGAGCTTCAAGCATATAAATGAGGTTTCTATCAAGTTTAAATGAGATTTCTATCATGTGTAAATAAAGCTGACCTGTAAATAATGCCTTTACTGTGGAGGAACTTGAGTCCGGACGTGATCTCAGCAGCGTAGAAACAAGCTCGGAACTCATCAAAGCGACCACAGTGTTGTATGTGGAACATGAGGTCACCTCCAGTCAGGTACTCCATCACGAAGAACAAGTGCGACTGTGAGGGAGGAGAACAAGTGAACAGTAGAGAACATGAGGTCACCTCCAGTCAGGTACTCCATCACGAAGAACAAGTGCGACTGTGAGGGAGGAGAACAAGTGAACAGTAGAGAACATGAGATCACCTCCAGTCAGGTACTCCATCACGAAGAACAAGTGCGACTGTGAGGGAGGAGAACAAGTGAACAGTAGAGAACATGAGGTCACCTCCAGTCAGGTACTCCATCACGAAGAACAAGTGCGACTGTGAGGGAGGAGAACAAGTGAACAGTAGAGAACATGAGACCACCTCCAGTCAGGTACTCCATCACGAAGAACAAGTGCGACTGTGAAGGAGAACAAGTGAACAGTAGAGAACATGAGACCACCTCCAGTCAGGTACTCCATCACGAAGAACAAGTGCGACTGTGAGGGAGGAGAACAAGTGAACAGTAGAGAACATGAGACCACCTCCAGTCAGGTACTCCATCACGAAGAACAAGTGCGACTGTGAAGGAGAACAAGTGAACAGTAGAGAACATGAGACCACCTCCAGTCAGGTACTCCATCACGAAGAACAAGTGCGACTGTGAAGGAGAACAAGTGAACAGTAGAGAACATGAGACCACCTCCAGTCAGGTACTCCATCACGAAGAACAAGTGCGACTGTGAAGGAGAACAAGTGAACAGTAGAGAACATGAGACCACCTCCAGTCAGGTACTCCATCACGAAGAACAAGTGCGACTGTGAGGGAGGAGAACAAGTGAACAGTAGAGAACATGAGACCACCTCCAGTCAGGTACTCCATCACGAAGAACAAGTGCGACTGTGAAGGAGAACAAGTGAACAGTAGAGAACATGAGACCACCTCCAGTCAGGTACTCCATCACGAAGAACAAGTGCGACTGTGAAGGAGAACAAGTGAACAGTAGAGAACATGAGACCACCTCCAGTCAGGTACTCCATCACGAAGAACAAGTGCGACTGTGAAGGAGAACAAGTGAACAGTAGAGAACATGAGACCACCTCCAGTCAGGTACTCCATCACGAAAAACAAGTGCGACTGTGAAGGAGAACAAGTGAACAGTAGAGAACATGAGACCACCTCCAGTCAGGTACTCCATCACGAAGAACAAGTGCGACTGTGAGGGAGGAGAACAAGTGAACAGTAGAGAACATGAGACCACCTCCAGTCAGGTACTCCATCACGAAGAACAAGTGCGACTGTGAGGGAGGAGAACAAGTGAACAGTAGAGAACATGAGACCACCTCCAGTCAGGTACTCCATCACGAAGAACAAGTGCGACTGTGAGGGAGGAGAACAAGTGAACAGTAGAGAACATGAGACCACCTCCAGTCAGGTACTCCATCACGAAGAACAAGTGCGACTGTGAGGGAGGAGAACAAGTGAACAGTAGAGAACATGAGACCACCTCCAGTCAGGTACTCCATGATGAAGAACAAGTGCGACTGTGAAGGAGGAGAACAAGTGAACAGTAGAGAACATGAGACCACCTCCAGTCAGGTACTCCATGATGAACAAGTGCGACTGTGAAGGAGGAGAACAAGTGAACAGTAGAGAACATGAGACCACCTCCAGTCAGGTACTCCATGATGAAGAACAAGTGCGACTGTGAAGGAGGAGAACAAGTGAACAGTAGAGAACATGAGACCACCTCCAGTCAGGTACTCCATCACGAAGAACAAGTGCGACTGTGAGGGAGGAGAACAAGTGAACAGTAGAGAACATGAGACCACCTCCAGTCAGGTACTCCATCACGAAGAACAAGTGCGACTGTGAGGGAGGAGAACAAGTGAACAGTAGAGAACATGAGACCACCTCCAGTCAGGTACTCCATCACGAAGAACAAGTGTGACTGTGAGGGAGGAGAACAAGTGAACAGTAGAGAACATGAGATCACCTCCAGTCAGGTACTCCATCACGAAGAACAAGTGCGACTGTGAGGGAGGAGAACAAGTGAACAGTAGAGAACATGAGACCACCTCCAGTCAGGTACTCCATCACGAAGAACAAGTGCGACTGTGAGGGAGGAGAACAAGTGAACAGTAGAGAACATGAGATCACCTCCAGTCAGGTACTCCATCACGAAGAACAAGTGCGACTGTGAGGGAGGAGAACAAGTGAACAGTAGAGAACATGAGACCACCTCCAGTCAGGTACTCCATCACGAAGAACAAGTGCGACTGTGAGGGAGGAGAACAAGTGAACAGTAGAGAACATGAGACCACCTCCAGTCAGGTACTCCATCACGAAAAACAAGTGCGACTGTGAAGGAGAACAAGTGAACAGTAGAGAACATGAGACCACATCCAGTCATGTACTCCATCACGAAGAACAAGTGTGACTGTGAAGGAGGAGAACAAGTGAACAGTAGAGAACATGAGACCACCTCCAGTCAGGTACTCCATGATGAAGAACAAGTGCGACTGTGAGGGAGGAGAACAAGTGAACAGTAGAGAACATGAGACCACCTCCAGTCAGGTACTCCATCACGAAGAACAAGTGCGACTGTGAGGGAGGAGAACAAGTGAACAGTAGAGAACATGAGACCACCTCCAGTCAGGTACTCCATCACGAAGAACAAGTGCGACTGTGAGGGAGGAGAACAAGTGAACAGTAGAGAACATGAGACCACCTCCAGTCAGGTACTCCATCACGAAGAACAAGTGGGACTGTGAGGGAGGAGAACAAGTGAACAGTAGAGAACATGAGACCACCTCCACTCAGGTACTCCATCACGAAGAACAAGTGCGACTGTGAGGGAGGAGAACAAGCGAACAGTAGAGAACATGAGACCACCTCCAGTCAGGTACTCCATCACGAAGAACAAGTGCGACTGTGAGGGAGGAGAACAAGCGAACAGTAGAGAACATGAGACCACCTCCAGTCAGGTACTCCATCACGAAGAACAAGTGCGACTGTGAGGGAGGAGAACAAGTGAACAGTAGAGAACATGAGATCACCTCCAGTCAGGTACTCCATCACGAAGAACAAGTGCGACTGTGAGGGAGGAGAACAAGTGAACAGTAGAGAACATGAGACCACCTCCAGTCAGGTACTCCATCACGAAGAACAAGTGCGACTGTGAGGGAGGAGAACAAGTGAACAGTAGAGAACATGAGACCACCTCCAGTCAGGTATTCCATCACGAAGAACAAGTGCGACTGTGAGGGAGGAGAACAAGTGAACAGTAGAGAACATGAGACCACCTCCAGTCAGGTACTCCATCACGAAGAACAAGTGCGACTGTGAGGGAGGAGAACAAGTGAACAGTAGAGAACATGAGACCACCTCCAGTCAGGTACTCCATCACGAAGAACAAGTGGGACTGTGAGGGAGGAGAACAAGTGAACAGTAGAGAACATGAGACCACCTCCACTCAGGTACTCCATCACGAAGAACAAGTGCGACTGTGAGGGAGGAGAACAAGCGAACAGTAGAGAACATGAGACCACCTCCAGTCAGGTACTCCATCACGAAGAACAAGTGCGACTGTGAGGGAGGAGAACAAGTGAACAGTAGAGAACATGAGACCACCTCCAGTCAGGTACTCCATCACGAAGAAAAAGTGCGACTGTGAGGGAGGAGAACAAGTGAACAGTAGAGAACATGAGATCACCTCCAGTCAGGTACTCCATCACGAAGAACAAGTGCGACTGTGAGGGAGGAGAACAAGTGAACAGTAGAGAACATGAGACCACCTCCAGTCAGGTACTCCATCACGAAGAAAAAGTGCGACTGTGAGGGAGGAGAACAAGTGAACAGTAGAGAACATGAGATCACCTCCAGTCAGGTACTCCATCACGAAGAACAAGTGCGACTGTGAGGGAGGAGAACAAGTGAACAGTAGAGAACATGAGACCACCTCCAGTCAGGTACTCCATCACGAAGAACAAGTGCGACTGTGAGGGAGGAGAACAATGAACAGTAGAGAACATGAGACCACCTCCAGTCAGGTACTCCATCACGAAGAACAAGTGCGACTGTGAGGGAGGAGAACAAGTGAACAGTAGAGAACATGAGACCACCTCCAGTCAGGTACTCCATCACGAAGAACAAGTGCGACTGTGAGGGAGGAGAACAAGTGAACAGTAGAGAACATGAGACCACCTCCAGTCAGGTACTCCATCACGAAGAACAAGTGGGACTGTGAGGGAGGAGAACAAGTGAACAGTAGAGAACATGAGACCACCTCCACTCAGGTACTCCATCACGAAGAACAAGTGCGACTGTGAGGGAGGAGAACAAGCGAACAGTAGAGAACATGAGACCACCTCCAGTCAGGTACTCCATCACGAAGAACAAGTGCGACTGTGAGGGAGGAGAACAAGTGAACAGTAGAGAACATGAGATCACCTCCAGTCAGGTACTCCATCACGAAGAACAAGTGCGACTGTGAAGGAGGAGAACAAGTGAACAGTAGAGAACATGAGACCACCTCCAGTCAGGTACTCCATCACGAAGAACAAGTGCGACTGTGAGGGAGGAGAACAAGTGAACAGTAGAGAACATGAGACCACCTCCAGTCAGGTACTCCATCACGAAGAACAAGTGCGACTGTGAGGGAGGAGAACAAGTGAACAGTAGAGAACATGAGACCACCTCCAGTCAGGTACTCCATCACGAAGAACAAGTGCGACTGTGAGGGAGGAGAACAAGTGAACAGTAGAGAACATGAGACCACCTCCAGTCAGGTACTCCATCACGAAGAACAAGTGCGACTGTGAGGGAGGAGAACAAGTGAACAGTAGAGAACATGAGACCACCTCCAGTCAGGTACTCCATCACGAAGAACAAGTGCGACTGTGAGGGAGGAGAACAAGTGAACAGTAGAGAACATGAGACCACCTCCAGTCAGGTACTCCATCACGAAGAACAAGTGCGACTGTGAGGGAGGAGAACAAGTGAACAGTAGAGAACATGAGATCACCTCCAGTCAGGTACTCCATCACGAAGAACAAGTGCGACTGTGAAGGAGGAGAACAAGTGAACAGTAGAGAACATGAGACCACCTCCAGTCAGGTACTCCATCACGAAGAACAAGTGCGACTGTGAGGGAGGAGAACAAGTGAACAGTAGAGAACATGAGACCACCTCCAGTCAGGTACTCCATCACGAAGAACAAGTGCGACTGTGAGGGAGGAGAACAAGTGAACACTAGAGAACATGAGACCACCTCCAGTCAGGTACTCCATCACGAAGAACAAGTGCGACTGTGAGGGAGGAGAACAAGTGAACAGTAGAGAACATGAGATCACCTCCAGTCAGGTACTCCATCACGAAGAACAAGTGCGACTGTGAAGGAGGAGAACAAGTGAACAGTAGAGAACATGAGACCACCTCCAGTCAGGTACTCCATCACGAAGAAAAAGTGCGACTGTGAGGGAGGAGAACAAGTGAACAGTAGAGAACATGAGATCACCTCCAGTCAGGTACTCCATCACGAAGAACAAGTGCGACTGTGAGGGAGGAGAACAAGTGAACAGTAGAGAACATGAGACCACCTCCAGTCAGGTACTTCATGATGAAGAACAAGTGTGACTGTGAAGGAGGAGAACAAGTGAACAGTAGAGAACATGAGACCACCTCCAGTCAGGTACTTCATGATGAAGAACAAGTGTGACTGTGAACAGTAAAGAACAAATGTGACTGTGGGAAGAGAACAGGTGAACAGTAAAGAACAAGTGCAACTTTGGGGAGGGAGAACAGGTGAACGGCCAAAAAATACTAAATTGTTAAAAGATAAGCAAAGACTGTCAAAAGATAATAGACAGCAAATACTGAAAAGATACTCAATAGATGTTCCAGATGCACTCAATAGATTTTTTCATGAATTGGGAGATAATGTAAAAGATATTTTTAAACATTTGGTAGACTGAAAAGATACTTTTAAGCATCTGGTAGACTGAAAAGATACTTTTAAGCATCTGGTAGACTGAAAAGATACTTTTAAACATCTGGTAGACTGAAAAGATACTTTTAAACATCTGGTAGACTGAAAAGATACTTTTAAACATCTGGTAGACTGAAAAGATACTTTTAAACATCTGGTAGACTGAAAAGATACTTTTAAACATCTGGTAGACTGAAAAGATACTTTTAAACATCTGGTAGACTGAAAAGATACTTTTAAACATCTGGTAGACTGAAAAGATACTTTTAAACATCTGGTAGACTGAAAAGATACTTTTAAACATCTGGTAGACTGAAAAGATACTTTTAAACATCTGGTAGACTGAAAAGATACTTTTAAACATCTGGTAGACTGAAAAGATACTTTTAAACATCTGGTAGACTGAAAAGATACTTTTAAACATCTGGTAGACTGAAAAGATACTTTTAAACATCTGGTAGACTGAAAAGATACTTTTAAACATCTGGTAGACTGAAAAGATACTTTTAAACATCTGGTAGACTGAAAAGATACTTTTAAACATCTGGTAGACTGAAAAGATACTTTTAAACATCTGGTAGACTGAAAAGATACTTTTAAACATCTGGTAGACTGAAAAGATACTTTTAAACATCTGGTAGACTGAAAAGATACTTTTAAACATCTGGTAGACTGAAAAGATACTTTTAAACATCTGGTAGACTGAAAAGATACTTTTAAACATCTGGTAGACTGAAAAGATACTTTTATAAAACTGGTAGATTGAAAAGATACTTTTCAATGTATACACTAAAAAGATACTTCTTAACATCTGGAAGTTTAACTTCTCTATGCTTGGAAAGATACTATATCTGGATGTTTGAAAAGATACTATTTAACTTCTATACGTCTGAAAAGATACTTTTAACATTAATATTAAAAATACTTTTTAACACTAGGATAACTTTTAACATTGCCAGTTTCTGGAAGCTGTGAAAGCTTAACAGCATCTGGAAGCTGTGAAAGCTTAACAGCATCTGGGAGGTGTGAAAGCTTAACAGAATCTGGAAGGTGTGAAAGCTTAACAGCATCTGAGAGGTGTGAAAGCTTAACAGCATCTGGAAGGTGTGAAAGCTTAACAGTATTTGGAAGGTGTGAAAGCTTAACAGCATCTGGGAGGTGTGAAAGCTTAACAGCATCTGGGAGGTGTGAAAGCTTAACAGCATCTGGAAGGTGTGAAAGCTTAACAGCATCTGGAAGGTGTGAAAGCTTAACAGTATTTGGAAGGTGTGAAAGCTTAACAGCATCTGGGAGGTGTGAAAGCTTAACAGCATCTGGGAGGTGTGAAAGCTTAACAGCATCTGGAAGGTGTGAAAGCTTAACAGCATCTGAGAGGTGTGAAAGCTTAACAGCATCTGGAAGGTGTGAAAGCTTAACAGCATCTGGAAGGTGTGAAAGCTTAACAGCATCTGGGAGGTGTGAAAGCTTAACAGCATCTGGAAGGTGTGAAAGCTTAACAGCATCTGAGAGGTGTGAAAGCTTAACAGCATCTGGAAGGTGTGAAAGCTTAACAGCATCTGGAAGGTGTGAAAGCTTAACAGCATCTGGAAGGTGTGAAAGCTTAACAGCATCTGGGAGGTGTAAAAGCTTAACAGTATTTGGAAGGTATGAAAGCTTAACAGCATCTGGGAGGTGTGAAAGCTTAACAGCATCTGTAAGCTGTGAAAGCTTAACAACATCTGGGAGGTGTAAAAGCTTAACAGTATTTGGAAGGTGTGAAAGCTTAACAGCATCCAGGAGTTGTGAAAGCTTAACAGTATTTAGAAGGTGTGAAAGCTTAACAGCATCTGGGAGGTGTGAAATCTTAACAGCATCTGGGAGGTGTCAGAGCTTAACAGCATCTGGGAGATGTGAAAGCTTAACAGCATCTGGGAGATGTGAAAGCTTAACAGCATCTGGGAGATGTGAAAGCTTAACAGCATCTGGGAGATGTGAAAGCTTAACAGCATCTGGGAGATGTGAAAGCTTAACAGCATCTGGGAGATTAATACTTACCGGTGTTTGGAAAGTACAGAAGAGGTGGCAGAGGTACGGATGCTTGGTACCCAGACTGAGTACTTTCCTCTCTATTAGAGTACACTCCACGTCGTTGTCTTCAAGTACTACGTCCTTCTTCAGACACTTGACAGCGAAGTAGTTTTCTGAGTCCTTCTGCTGTGCCAGCATCACCTGTGTTGGTGTGTGAGCAAGAGTTAGGTACAGCAGGATCCATGACTCGACCCCTGCAACCACAACTAGGTGAGTGCATACAGGAGGGTCTCACTTTACAGCACTTTGCTTAAGAGCGTCTCGCTAATGCAGTGGTTTTCCATTATAGCCATTTTCATATATTCAGACTTCCTATAATGAATATATTCACTACTCACTAGAGCTAAGGACGAAAATATTTTAAGGTAAGTAATGTACTGTTTATGCATTTTTTATCCCTAGCTCTATTGCTCACTTAATATATGATAGTGCAAACATGTTATCAGGTTTAATATGCATTTCAAAATTGAAAAAGCCTATGTTTCACTTTACAGATGTGACAGAGTGAACAGGCAAAAGGGGGGGGTTGGCCTGTACATTGCAGAGTCACTTGTTTGCACAGAACTGCTTAATGCCTCAAATGACGTAGTGGAAGTTTTAGCAGTAAAGGTCGAGAACCAAAACCTAGTCATTGTGGTAGTCTACAAGCCTCCGGATGCAACATCCCAGCAATTCCAGGAACAGCTGTTAAAAATTGACCACTGTCTGGAAAATCTTCCAGCTCCTGCACCCAACATCTTGCTCCTGGGGGATTTCAACTTAAGGCACCTAAAATGGAGGAATATAGCAAATAATATTGTTGCAGAAATAACACCAGGAGGCAGCTCTGATGAAAACTCACACTCACACGAGCTTTTAAATCTCTGCACAAAATTCAATTTAAACCAGCAAATAATAGAGCCTACAAGACTGGAGAATACACTAGACCTCATCTTCACTAACAATGATGATCTGATAAGAAATGTCACCATATCAAAAACAATATACTCAGATCACAACATAATTGAGGTTCAGACATGTATGCATGGAGCCCCAGACCGACAAAATGAGACTAGTCATGAGGGAGCATTCACCAAATTCAACTTCAATAACAAAAACATAAAGTGGGACCAAGTAAACCAAGTCCTAACCGACATAAGCTGGGAAGATATACTAAGCAACACAGACCCAAACTTATGCCTAGAACAGATTAACTCGGTGGCACTCGATGTATGCACAAGGCTTATTCCTCTAAGAAAAAGGAGGAGTAGATGTAAAATAGAAAGAGACAGGCGCTCCCTTTACAGGCGACGGAAAAGAATAACAGAGCGGCTAAAAGAGGTCAATATATCTGAAATGCGCAGGGAGACACTGGTCAGAGAAATAGCAAGCATCGAACTTAAGCTAAAAGAATCCTTTAGGAGTCAGGAATCGCGGGAAGAACTAAAAGCCATAAATGAAATCGAAAGAAACCCAAAGTATTTCTTCTCCTATGCCAAATCAAAATCGAGAACAACGTCCAGTATTGGGCCCCTACTTAAACAAGATGGGTCCTACACAGATGACAGCAAGGAAATGAGTGAGCTACTCAAGTCCCAATATGACTCAGTTTTTAGCAAGCCGCTAACCAGACTGAGAGTCGAAGACCAAAATGAATTTTTTATGAGAGAGCCACAAAATTTGACTAACACAAGCCTATCCGATGTTATCCTGACGCCAAATGACTTCGAACAGGCGATAAATGACATGCCCATGCACTCTGCCCCAGGGCCAGACTCATGGAACTCTGTGTTCATCAAGAACTGCAAGAAGCCCCTATCACGAGCCTTTTCCATCCTATGGAGAGGGAGCATGGACACGGGGGTCGTCCCTCAGTTACTAAAAACAACAGACATAGCCCCACTCCACAAAGGGGGCAGTAAAGCAACAGCAAAGAACTACAGACCAATAGCACTAACATCCCATATCATAAAAATCTTTGAAAGGGTCCTAAGAAGCAAGATCACCACCCATCTAGAAACCCATCAGTTACACAACCCAGGGCAACATGGGTTTAGAACAGGTCGCTCCTGTCTGTCTCAACTACTGGATCACTACGACAAGGTCCTAATGCACTAGAAGACAAAAAGAATGCAGATGTAATATATACAGACTTTGCAAAAGCCTTCGACAAGTGTGACCATGGCGTAATAGCGCACAAAATGCGCGCTAAAGGAATAACAGGAAAAGTCGGTCGATGGATCTATAATTTCCTCACTAACAGAACACAGAGAGTAGTCGTCAACAGAGTAAAGTCCGAGGCAGCTACGGTGAAAAGCTCTGTCCCACAAGGCACAGTACTAGCTCCCATCTTGTTCCTCATCCTCATATCCGACATAGACAAGGATGTCAGCCACAGCACCGTGTCTTCCTTTGCAGATGACACCCGAATCTGCATGACAGTGTCTTCCATTGCAGACACTGCAAGGCTCCAGGCGGACATCAACCAAATCTTTCAGTGGGCTGCAGAAAACAATATGAAGTTCAACGATGAGAAATTTCAATTACTCAGATATGGTAAACATGAGGAAATTAAATCTTCATCAGAGTACAAAACAAATTCTGGCCACAAAATAGAGCGAAACACCAACGTCAAAGACCTAGGAGTGATTATGTCGGAGGATCTCACCTTCAAGGACCATAACATTGTATCAATCGCATCTGCTAGAAAAATGACAGGATGGATAATGAGAACCTTCAAAACTAGGGAGGCCAAGCCCATGATGACACTCTTCAGGTCACTTGTTCTATCTAGGCTGGAATATTGCTGCACTCTAACAGCACCTTTCAAGGCAGGTGAAATTGCCGACCTAGAAAATGTACAGAGAACTTTCACGGCGCGCATAACGGAGATAAAACACCTCAATTACTGGGAGCGCTTGAGGTTTCTAAACCTGTATTCCCTGGAACGCAGGAGGGAGAGATACATGATTATATACACCTGGAAAATCCTAGAGGGACTAGTACCAAACTTGCACACGAAAATCACTCACTACGAAAGCAAAAGACTTGGCAGACGATGCACCATCCCCCCAATGAAAAGCAGGGGTGTCACTAGCACGTTAAGAGACCATACAATAAGTGTCAGGGGCCCGAGACTGTTCAACTGCCTCCCAGCACACATAAGGGGGATTACCAACAGACCCCTGGCAGTCTTCAAGCTGGCACTGGACAAGCACCTAAAGACAGTTCCTGATCAGCCGGGCTGTGGCTCGTACGTTGGTTTGCGTGCAGCCAGCAGCAACAGCCTGGTTGATCAGGCGCTGATCCACCAGGAGGCCTGGTCACAGACCGGGCCGCGGGGGCGTTGACCCCCGAAACTCTCTCCAGGTAAACTCCAGGTAAACAGTAGCAGCCCGGAGCCTAACCTGCTGTATAAGTGGGGCCTTACAGTAGCCCAGAACCTAACCTGCTGTATAAGTGGGGCCTTACAGTAGCCCGGAACCTAACCTGCTGTATAAGTGGGCCTTACAGTAGCCCGGAACCTAACCTGCTGTATAAGTGGGGCCTTACAGTAGCCCGGAACCTAACCTGCTGTATAAGTGGGGCCTTACAGTAGCCCGGAACCTAACCTGCTGTATAAGTGGGGCCTTACAGTAGCCTGGATCCTAACCTGCTGTATAAGTGGGGCCCTACAGTAGCCTGGATCCTAACCTGCTGTATAAGTGGGGCCTTACAGTAGCCCCAAACCTAACCTGCTGTATAAGTGGGGCCCTACAGTAGTCCGGAACCTAACCTGCTGTATAAGTGGGGCTCTACAGTAGCCCAAAACCTAACCTGCTGTATAAGTGGGGCCCTACAGTAGCCCAAAACCTAACCTACTGTATAAGCGGGGAGTGCGTCTGTATACATGTATATTAAAAGGGAATTAAATATTTATACTCAAAAGACTACACAGTGCCTAGAGAATGGGATGGGTAGGGAGTAAACAGTCTTAATCCAAGGAGAGGGAGTGTAGCTCCACTTCCTGGTATCAAGAAATAGTCTTGATTCAAGGATCAAGAGCTCTTCTCCCCGAGGGGTACAAGAACAGGATAACAGAGCAGTCTTACCTTACCGTAACTACCTTTCCCCAGTACTTTAATAAAGTCAAAATCTGTGACATTATATTTCTTGAACTTGGGGCAGGACTGGAGGGGCGGTCTGATCTCTGGTAGACCAAAGTAATCCCCACTGTCTGTGTCTGTGGTCTCGGTCTCATCTTCCGTGCTCTCGGCCTCAGACCCAGAGATGGAGGTTGAGGAGGTCTTGGTAGAGGAGGCCAGAGTTCTGGTGGTCCCATCAGCAATACCTGGTGACGCGGGAAAAACATCACCATAACTGAGTATTGGTTAGAGTTGAAAGTAAAGTACATAGCAAGCAGAATAATAATAATAATAATAATAATAATAATAATAATAATAATAATAATAATAACAATAATAATAATAATAATAAAGCCCTTCCTCACTTGGCGACGCCTTGGACTTAAGATGGGCTCTCTGACCAGTATTCATACCTAAATAATGTATATTAGAACTGATTTTCTCTATTCTGTTTATTTCGATGAGGGTATCAAATGATTTAGATAAAGAAAAATTGGATATCAAATTGGGGAGGAGGAGTATGGAAGAAGTGAATGTTTTCAGATACTTGGGAGTTGACGTGTCGGCGGATGGATTTATGAAGGATGAGGTTAATCATGGAATTGATGAAGGAAAAAAGGTGAGTGGTGCATTGAGGTATAAGTGTAGGCAAAAAATGTTATCTATGGAGGCAAAGAAGGGAATGTATGAAAGTATAATAGTACCAACACTCTTATATGGGTGTGAAGCTTGGGTTGTAAATGCTGCAGCGAGGAGGCGGTTGGAGGCAGTGGAGATGTCCTGTCTAAGGGCAATGTGTGGTGTAAATATTATGCTGAAAATTCGGAGTGTGGAAATTAGGAGGTGTGGGGTTAATAAAAGTATTAGTCAGAGGGCAGAAGAGGGGTTGTTGAGGTGGTTTGGTCATTTAGAGAGAATGGATCAAAGTAGAATGACATGGAGAGCATTTAAATCTGTAGGAGAAGGAAGGCAGGGTAGGGGTCGTCCTCAAAAAGGTTGGAAGGAAGGGGTAAGGGAGGTTTTGTGGGCAAGGGGCTTGGACTTCCAGCAGGCATGCAAGAGCGTGTTTGATAGGAGTGAATGGAGACGAATGGTATTTGGGACTTGATGATCTGTTGGAGTGTGAGCAGGGTAATATTTAGTGAAGGTAAGCTGTGAATTGACCCCTACAAGCACAACTAGGTGAATACAACAAGTACACACACAGGAGCTATGACTCGACCCCTACAAGCACAACTAAGTAAGTACACACTACTTACCACCCTTCTTGACAGAGGAAAGTGCCTCAGCCAGCAGCTTTTGATTAACTCCACATAAATTGGGCATCTGCTTCTCACACTTCCTGTGACAGTTGACTCCACACACTATAAAGAAAAAAGAATACATATTAGATTATGATAATATTATAAACATTTCATCATCATCATCATCATCATCATCATCATCATCATCATCATCATCATCATCATCATCATCATCATCATCATCATCATCATCATCATCATCATCATCATCATCATCATCATCATCATCATCATCATCATCATCATCATCATCATCATCATCATCATCATCATCATCATCATCATCATCATCATCATCATCATCATCATCATCATCATCATCATCATCATCATCATCATCATCATCATTTTACTAACAGTTATACTGCTACCTCTGCACTTAATGAATTTACATGAATTATACCTAAAAGCAAATGAGATAAAAATGGAAGACAAGATAGGCATGAGAACGAAGTCTGTATCAAAAACTGAAACAAATAGAGAGAAATGGAAGCCAAGAGCAGCACACCGAGTCACAAGTCTTCACTAAACACCACAACCAGAGAGACAAGAATAAGTTGAAAATTAGACACATGTACGACATCTGGTTATCTGTAATTGTAAATGTTTCGCCAACCAGTGGTTTTTATCATTACAGATTCTAGGGCATAACCTGAAGACAGTAGAATTATATACGAAAAATGAGATAATCAGTCCCTCAACCTTGGTGTGTGTATAACATTCATGTACAATGGTGTAAGCTATTTAGGTACACTTACATACAATTATTATAAATAGTAACATATGTGTAAATTACTTAGGATAACCCCAAAAAAAAAGTCAAAAGTGGAGAGGTGAGATGGGAAGGAATAATGGCAAGACAGAACCCGTCACCACTGTAAAAAACATCAGTGGTGGGTTAGTGGTGATGGGAAACAATGTTTAGACATGGCACTCACTGTGCCACAATAACATCTGTACACAACACCTGCCAAACAATGTTTAGACATGGCACTCACTGTGCCTTTAGTTTAATATGTTTATTATGCACCCCATACCCATCCTGTGGACGGTAGTCAAAAGATTACAAAGGTACATAGTGGGTCCAGGGACTCATTGTGCCACAATAACATCTGTACACAACACCTGCCAAAACAATGTTTAGACATGGCACTCACTGTGCCACAATAACATCTGTACACAACACCTGCCAAAACAATGTTTAGACATGGCACTCACTGTGCCACAATAACATCTGTACACAACACCTGCCAAAACAATGTTTAGACATGGCACTCACTGTGCCACAATAACATCTGTACACAACACCTGCCAAAACAATATAGCGTGTTTAGTTTAATATCCTTATTATGCACCACATACCCAAGATGTAGGTGTTAGTCATCTTATACCTATGGTATGGGTGGTAGTCATCATATACCCATGTTAGTTAGTTAGTTTAATATGTTTATTATGCACCCCATACCCATCCTGTGGGCAGTAGTCAAAAGATACCCATGGTGTGAGCATTAGTCATCATGTACCCATGGTTTGTGTGTTAGTCATCATATACCCATGGTATAGGTGGTAATCAAAAGATTACAAAGGCACATAATGGGTCCAGGGACTAAGCACAGACACACACAGACACACACAGACACACACACACACAGACACACACACACACACTCCCTTGCGTCTGCGCACGAATGAAATAGAGCTGGCATGAAAACAAGAAGAAAAGATTATTAGAATCTTGGCTGTGTTCCACTGCAGGTCACACAGGAGACACCCGAAGCAACACAATACTCAGGTCAAACTCAAATACCTAAAAAAAAAAAAAAAAAAAAAAAAATGCAAGTACAGTGGTACCTCAAGTTTCAAACAGCTCCCAACTTGAACAATTATGTACATGTATTTTTGTAAGTGCTTTTGTAAGTGCAAAGGTTTGCAACAAGGCTAGTTCCAGAGCTAAGGGGAATGTCCTATGAAGAAAGGTTAAGAGAAATCGGCCTGACGACACTGGAGGACAGGAGGGTCAGGGGAGACATGATAACAACATACAAAACACTGCGGGAATAGACAAGGTGGACAGAGACAGGATGTTTCAGAGGGGACACAGAAACAAGGGGTCACAATTTGAAGTTGAAGACTCAGATGAGTCACAGGGATGTTAGGAAATACAGTGGACCCCCGCATAACGATCACCTCCGAATGCAACCAATTATGTAAGTGTATTTATGTAAGTGCGTTTGTACGTGTATGTTTGGGGGTCTGAAATGGACTAATCTAATTCACAATATTCCGTATGGGAACAAATTCGGTCAGTACTGGCACCTGAACATACTTCTGGAGTGAAAAAATATCGTTAACCAGGGGTCCACTGTACATATTTCTTCAGTCACTGAGTAGTCAGGAAGTGGAATAGTCTAGCAAGTGATGTAGTGGAGGCAGGAACCATACACAGCTTTAAGGCAAGGTATGAAGAAGCTCATGGAGCAGGGAGAGAGAGGACCTAGTAGCAGTGAAGAGGCAGGGCCAGGAACCGATTCTCGACTCCTGCAACCACACTTAGGTGAGTACAATTAGGTGAATACACACACACACACACACACACACACACACACACACACACACACAAAGTAGGTTAATTAAATAGCTAAGGTGGCAGACATTGTGGGTCACTTAAGAGCAGCACTGGAGTGCCAACACCTAGGTGTAGGTTCACACCTGTGTAAATACTTGTTTCTACTCACTGACACACTATTATTTCAATATTATATTCAATGGGGAGCACTAAACCCATAGGGATCATAATAATATTATTAATACAATATTTAACTCCTTGTCCTACCATGTTCCTCTCTCTCTCTCTCTCTCTCTCTCTCTCAAGGTCAATATACACATCGCACAGTGCCCCTGGCCAGGCACTGTTCTTGGCACCAAGACAGGACAGCTGTCGTATAATGTCCAATTTAAACCTCCAATGAAAGGGATTATAGGACAGTTTCCCTCAGATCTCAGCCTCGCTGACTTGTACAGGCTTACTTATATTAGTTCCCCTCAGATCTCAGCCTCGCTGACTTGTACAGACTTACTTATTGTATATATGTTGGTAGAATTACCAACAATATGTGAAGTAAAAGGAGACAAGTGCAACTAATGTAACATTTTATTGTGGCAACGTTTCGCTCTCCAGGAGCTTTGTCAAGTCATTACCAACAATACATGGACATAGAGGGTATATGTAGGGTCAGAGTGAGGTGTAATACTAGTGTTAGTAGTAGTAGTAGTAGTGATACAGGTTGTAGTAGTAATGACTTGACAAAGCTCCTGGAGAGTGAAACATTGCCACAATAAAATGTCACATTAGTTGCACTTGTGTCCTTTTACTTTACAGACTTATGTTAGTTCCCCTCAGATATATCAACAATGATTTATTTCAATCAGTTTGGGTCAGTTTTCTTTCAGATCTAGCTTCACTAATTACTTTAATTCTATTTATATTAGTTTATCTTCAGATCTATCCACACTGACTTGTATAATACAATTTGCATTAGTTTACCCTCACATCTCTCCTCACTGACTTGTATAATTCAATATACATTAGTTTACCTCACATCTCTCCTCACTGACTTGTATAATTCAATTTACATTAATCTGCTCTGAGACCTAGCCTCACTAACATGTTAAATTCATTTTATGTTAGTTTACTCTCAGATCTATCCTCGCTGACATGTTTAATTAAATTTTAATGTATTTTAGAGTGTCTTCGATCACTGGTAACTAGTGAATATCCCAGTGGGAATACTGAGGTTGATGTGAGAGTTACTCCAGAGCCACTGCATGACATGACAGAGATGGAGAGGGAGAAATTGAAGGAGGGAGGGACAGGATATTGAGAGGGACAGGCAGAGGGAAGGACAAGATTGAGGGAGAGGGTACAGAATAGGGAGGGACAGGATAAATGGAGGGAGGTACAGGATAAAGGGACAGAAGGAGGGACAGGATAAAGGGAAGAAGATATAAGATAAAGGGAGGGAGGGAGTGACAGGATAAAGGGAAGGAAGTAGGGACAGGATAAAGGGAAGGAGAGATAGGATAAAGAGAAGGAGGGACCAGGACAATGGGAATAAATGGGCAATTGGGCATTGCTGGGCAAAGGTGAAGAAATGGTGAGGTATTTATAGTGAACATATGATGCCTCGGGCACTGTGCCTGGTGGTGGTGGGGGGGTGGTGGTGGTGGTGGTGGTGGTGGTGGTGGGGGGTGGTGGTGGTGGTGGTGGTGGTGGTGGGGGGTGGGTTGGTGGTGGTGGTGGTTTGGTGGTGGTGGTGGTGGTGGTGGTGGTGGTGGTGGTGGTGGTGGTGGTGGGGGTGGTGGTGGTGGTGGTGGTGGTGGTGGTGGTGGTGGTGGTGGTGGTGGTGGTGGTGGTGGGGGGTGGTGGTGGTGGTGGTGGTGGTGGTGGTGGTGTGGTGGTGGTGGTGGTGGTGGTGGTGGTGGTGGTGGGTGGTGGTGGTGGTGGTGGTGGTGGTGGTGGGTGGTGGTGGTGTGGTGGTGGGTGGTGGTGGTGGTGGTGGTGGTGGTGGTGGTGGGGTGGTGGTGGTGGTGGTGGTGGTGGTGGTGGTGGTGGTGGTGGTGGTGGGTGGTGGTGGTGGTGGTGGTGTGGTGGTGGTGGTGGTGGTGAGTGGTGGTGGTGGTGGTGGTGGTGGTGGTGGTGGTGGTGGTGGTGGTGGTGGTGGTGGTGGTGGTGGTGGTGGTGGTGTGGTGGTGGTGGTGGTGGTGGTGGTGGTGGTGGTGGTGGGGGTGGTGGTGGTGGTGGTGGTGGTGGTGGTGGTGGTGGTTGGTGGTGGTGGTGGTGGTGGTGTGGTGGTGGTGGTGGTGGTGGTGGGTGGTGGTGGTGGTGGTGGTGGTGGGGGTGGTGGTGGTGGTGGTGGTGGTGGTGGTGGTGGTGGTGGTGGTGGTGGTGGTGGTGGTGGTGGTGGTGGTGGTGGTGGTGGTGGTGGTGGTGGTGGTGGTGGTGGTGGTGGTGGTGGGTGGTGGTGGTGGGGGGGGTGGTGGTGGTGGTGGTGGTGGTGGTG